CCACGTCATTACATGCACCTGCATGTAACGTGAGCCATTATCAGTTACCGATAAGGTGTCGGTACAGAAATCGAGCCAGCATTGTATTTGAGATGGTATCGGTGAAACATTTACGCCTACTGGGTCCGACTGTACGCCAGGGCGGTTGCTGCAAGGGTAGTGGAACAAGTCCCGGTAACTGTGATATTGTGGCGAACACCGGGCTACTAGAATTTGAACGTTTACCGCGATACAAGCAACTAAAATTTGACTAATTCAAGCAATCAAAGCAAGTAGAATTCAACCAATTCCAGTATTAAAGCAATAAATTTCTGGTCAATTTCCGTGATAAAAACTATCTTAGTGGTTTTCCCCATTTTGCTTTCTTTTGCTTTCTCAAGTTCTCTCAGCCTGGACAGAATCAATGCGGTGCCCTGATAAACTGCTGATGAATATTTCGGTTTCAAAACCCCGGGAAAGTTTTCTGTGTAACTAGGTGTTCGTATTCAAGGGATTTAATTTATCATAGAAAACATAATTGAATTAATAACAGCCTTGATCTAAATGAATATGCTGATTACTGGCGTTCTTTAGGATACTGGTCACAAATATGTCGTCGTTAAGGTGCCCAACCTATACAAAAAAACGAAATGTTTAACCTTTTGTTCGGACCATCATTCTAAACCTCTGAGAAGAAACATTTTGATTTACACTGAGCTGCTACCGTTGGAATAAATAATAGTTTCACCATGCGACCATATAAAAAGAAATCATTGTAGAGGATGGGTAATTGCAATAATGGAGGACAAGTGGTCAATAATAGACAAATCGGCGTCATATGGAAATAGGAAGAATAACAACAGGGACAAGAATAAGAACAATTAACACGAAGAGTAAAGCTAGGTTCATTCGCTCACGATTAGTTGACCCAAACATCTGGATATTGAACTATTCGGAAAAATACCCTGGAAACTCCCAATATACATAAAATACAGTTACCGATAGGAAGTAAAAAGAAAGCTTTGGAAGGGTGTAAAAAGAAATAGAATTCACCTTTGACAGCTAGCCGTAACTGGGAGACAAATGGAACCGCATTTCTGTTTATTGCAAAAAACCTATCAGATTTTACGACATCAGTTATCTGTCCTTTGAGACTGAAATCCTGGTCATTCTAATGAACCCGCGGTCAATATGTCAATGGTTCTTTAGTGCATTATATACATAATAAACAGACATAGATGGCTAAAGTCAATTCCAAATTATTGGAACCATTTTGACCATATAACATTGAGCAGAGATCAAAATATCCATTCGCATATTCAAACCCAGGAACAATTAAACCACAATTATTTTCACACAATGGCACAGATCAGTACTCTGCCCAAAACCATATTGTGGCTGTCCCGCCAAAAATATCAAAGTGTGAGGCACGAAGTAAGCAACAAGTCATAGGACTCTTTTGATGCTGCATACTACAGATGACAATATACTTCATTTGATTGCGTACCGAACAGTCCAATCCGTAACCATGAGTTTTTTAATAGCGCACTCTGCGCCAAAAAAACGAAAGGGAAATAAAGAACATGATCTTAACTGTAGAGGGCCTCAATATTTACAAGTAAGGGATCTAATCTGCATATAACTGTATTGTACTATATTTGTGCACAGCAGTTTAATTTACCCAGTGTTACATGAATTGTGTATCTTTCAACTGATTATTTTAAAATGTTGGTGGTTTGTTTTATGTCATGAATTATTTTTAAATGTACAGTTTGCATTGACGTCATAATTTGATTGCATACTTTTAATGGTTGATGAGACGGGAATGTTTTTATTTCGATTTTTAAAGAGATCGATTTCAAATCACACAAATACGGTTCAATAGATAATAAATTAAACGGGTCCTGTTGTCGCCTTTGCTGCTTTGAATGTTATCCCCTAGTATTTTACTGAGTTTGTGGAGTTCAAACATCCAACGGCATTCCACATCGTTCAATAGCGCCAACAACGACGTATTAAATCAATTATTATTATTATTATTTATTTTAACCAATGATGTTTGAAACTCTCGCTATATAGAAAAATCACCCTTGTGAGCCAGTGACATTTCGTTTTTAAATTGTGTTCAGCGACCACTGAAATTACATATGTGGGCATATCAAAAATATCCAGAGGTCATTTTCTGAAAAACTGGTTTCTGAGAAAATGTGTTTCTGTCAGGAATGCTAAATATAGTAGTAGTTGTAGTATGTATGTACTAGTTGTAGTCACAACGTTTGCATGATATATCATGTCACCACTAATATATTTATCTATCTATACATCACATCACTAGTTTGTTAGATATATATAATACCTCTTAAAAATCTGCAGTCTCTTGTTTTATATACGGGCATGTATGTGTTGTCGCGTACGCATCTTTGGTTCACACGAGGTGGCATTATTGTGTTGGATAAGCAGCTTGCATGTTTAGGGTAGACATTATAAATTTATATTACAGGAATTTTATAAATAGATTGTTTACTAATTGTTGTATTTAGTAGTGGCCAACTTTGCAAGGCTTTAACCGTGAGGCACATCCATCATTGGTAACTACGTGATCGTGCCAACGACTGCAGCGATTGGCTGATAGCATGTTTACTTTGCCAAGCGATGGAGTTTTATGATGGAGTTTGTAAGATTTTGTAAGGGAGGAAGGAGAGAGATGGGCAGTGAGGCGTTACATCAGCTGACCATTTGGATGAATAAAGCTGGACTGTAACGAAATAATGTGTATTCCTTTGGGTCGAATTTGTTATTTCTACGTGTAAGTGTTGTCAGCCAAGCGAGACAAAGTACCCCGAACATAACGCTAGTGTTCACAATATATGAGTGAACATGTGGCTGTGAATCGGTTGGGAACGAGGCTACATGCTCCTGAGGTAATCACACAGAATAGCATGTGCACCGGTAAATATCCTATTGTAACTAAATGTGTCACAGTAGCCCATTCCACAATATACTGCCAAATTTGAATTGTGTATCTTAATATTATATCTTTTTCTTCGACATTCAAAGTGTTTATATTTACAGATACCACACGTGCCCATATTCTTTCAAAACACCTGACACAGCGTATCTTTCTACTGAAAAGACCATGTATTACAGCGTATTGTCTGTAACGTTTCTCTTCTCCAGGTTTCAGCTCGGACTAGTAATTTATATTCATAAATACATGAATTAGGGTATGTTATGTTTACCTGTGTTCCGAAAGTGTGGTGTTCTGATACAGGTAAATCATTCTCTTCAAAATCATTCTAGTACAACATAACACAATTATGCCAATATTACATTATATTTATTGCGCCAAAAAACGAATAATACTAAATCTATGCCCAACACCAAACTCAAATTTTTATATCCCAAACTGAATAAACTGGTAAGACGTTGACGAAGATTTGCAAGCTTTATATAGGTCAGCAATTGAAAATGATCATTAGCATCTGTAAAAAATTAAAAAAAAAACAGAATTAATTCATTGTTATCAATGATTCTTAAAATTGCACGTACAGAATGTCTCACAAATGTGTTCATTCCTTAATTGCTTCCTTAATTTCTTCATTCATTCGTTCGTTCGTTCGTTCGTTCATGCATGCGCTCGTCATTTTCTCTTTCATTTGTCCATTCACTCATTCATTGGTTGGTTGGCTGGTTTTTTGTGTTCGTTCGTTTGTTTATTTGTTAAGTCATTCGTTCATTTGTTAAGTAATTCTTTCATTAAGACATTCATTCGTACAGTCAGCCATTCATTCATCATTTGCTCAATCAATATTACTTTGACTTACGTTTTGCCAGCAACTTTCCAGCTCTCACCAAACTCTTTAATATCTTTTACAACTACACCATCAGGTTTCTTGAAGTCATTTTTGGTATTACCATCACCATCACCAAGCAGACCACACATCTTTCCACGATAATAATCACCAGTGAATTCGATATTGAAGGTGTGTTTTCTTCCATTCCAGAATATCTTGAATGTCGTGTCCTTGAGATTGAAACTTAGAATTGCCATATCGCCATCGTGCACTATGTTTATTTTGCTAAGACTATCAGCACTTGTCTAGAGGGAAAGAAGTTGTGTTAGTTGTTAATGAAGTGTAGTATAATACACATACGACAAATTATCTGTATTAAAACATTCCAAATGAACAAATTATTACTTTAAGTATTTTTAAGTTTTTATCACGAACATTGTATTGAACAATAGTGTATTACAGATATTAAAGTTTAAAACAATACAATCTGTGCTCTACTTACAGTAACCACATTGTCATTGTTAACGAGAACGCATTCACCTCCCACTGTAACGTTAATGGCAACAGCTCTTGTCCTGACTTCTTCGATATCTTCCCTGGGTGTTAACTCGGCTGTGATTTCAAAGTGAGGTGTTGTGCTCATGCAATCTCTTACAAGAGTGTACCAACACATGCCTTGGAAACTGTACTGACGTCCATCTAAAGTAGTGATGTGAGGATCGCACTTGAATCCTTAAAATATACAAAACAAATCGTTATTACATATTTAAGTGTATTTTTGTAGAAACAATAGTATGTATATGATTGTCAAAAATAATCTGGTTTAAAGTAGTAATTTCAAATTCAAGGCTATGCCTAACGTAGTATATGTATTTGCCTCGCGATCAGATACATTATAGACAAATGTGGAAAATAATGTCCTAAAATGTATCTAAATCAATACTATTTGTCATTCCAGAACAGAATCTTGGTCTTTGATTGTTTAGTCTTTGTAAATATGTTATATAGGAAATTGATAGGACTTGTCACAGTCAATTTGCACATATA